CTAGAGTTATCTATGGAGAAATTCCCAGGCATCTTTTAGCTGCTGCAGAGATGCATGAATGATGGACAAGTATGTTTCTACCCTCCATGCATTAGAAGAGAAGCTCCAGGGAGTATCAGAAGGCAGAAGTTTAATTTTTATCTTTTTTATTGCTGTGAGCCCTTTCCTAGGTCCACTGAGTATTAATTCCTAGTTATTAATAGTCCAGTTCCTTTATTCAAATGATATCTTTAAATATACTCCAAGTGTTTTCATAACATTATCTTCAGTTTCATGAATGTTAGCTAAATAGAAATGAACTTGGAAGAACTGAGATATTGGCAAAAGTAACTTAAAATCACCTATTCGATGGAACATTTGTCCAAATACTCTACCACCCCAATTCGCTAATAAATAATACTTTTCAACACTTTGCAATTATTAAACTATCTACATTGTAGTAATACCTAACTTATCCAACCCCTTGTAGGATGGCTATTCTGCCATAAAAACAAGAACTTCTGTATGAAGTGTTACTTATGTCAAAATTAGTGAAGCTTAAAAATGTTATAGTTGACATTGGTGATTAACAAAAACAAGCTTTGGGTGCAGTGGCTCACGCCTGTAATCCCAGCACCTTGGGAGGCTGAGGCAGGAGGACTGCTTGAGCTCAGGAGTTTGAGACCACCCTGGGCAACATAGTACGCATTCTATTTCTACAAAAAGAAAAAAATTAGCCAGTGTGATGGTGTGCATCGATAGTCCCAGCTACTTGGGAGGCTGAAGCAGAAGGAATGCCTGAGCCCAGTAGGTCAAGGCTGTGGTGAGTTGTGATCGTGCCACAGCACTCCAACCTGGGCAACAGAGACAGAACCCAACTCAAGAAAAAAAAAAGCTTCTTTAATCAAACAGTAAAAAATAAATGGCAAGCAGTTAGTTAGTAGGTGAACAAACCAGGGAAAAGAGATTGGGTTGAAACAAATTACAGTTATCCATTCTGGAGCTCAGCCCCTTGTCTTCTGATGATCTTTTTCCAACTTGACTGTTAATGTGTAAAAAAAAAAATTTTGTATAAGTTCTTGTAATTTTAGGTTTTCTCATCTTCTAAAAATTTTATTATTTATATATTGATGGAAACATAATAATTATACAAATTGACAGAGGTACATGTAATATTTTGATATATGCATACAATATGTAACAATCAAATGGGGGTAATGGGGATATTTATCACCTGAAACATTTATCATTTCTTTATGTTGAGAGCATTCTTCTCTTCTAGTTACTATGGAGTGTACACTAAATGATTTATAACTATAGTCACTCTACTGTGCTATGGAACACTAGAACTTAGTCCTTCTATCAGCTGTACTTTTGTACCTTTTAACCAGCCTCTCTTCATCTCCTGTCTCCAATTCCCACCCTCTTGTAACCACAACTCTACTCTCTACCTCTATGAATGAAATCCACTTTTTTAGTTCCCACATATGAGTAAGTGCATAACAAATGAGAGAGCTGAAACTATTAGAAGAAAACGCTTTGGGAAAATGCTTCCGAACATTGGTTTCCACAAAGATATTTGGGTAAGACCTTCCCTTTTTTTTTTCACTGAAAAGACGTTCGAATTTTCTAAATGGGCAGATATTCATGCATTACTAGTACAGTAAAAAAATTTTTCAAAAGTTGGGAAGAAGCTAAAATAGTGTATGCCTCTTATTTAAAAGAACTCGTAAGACAAAACTCGGTTTCTTGCTGTCTTTCCGTTACTGCCAAAAGAAAAACATGAATCAGTTGCATCACTGACACTGAAGTGCGCTTCGGGGTTTCATGTATGGACCAGATGGGAACAGCTGTGAATTTCTATCAAAGTCTGACATTTGTTTTGTCAGGTTTGTAATCGGCTTTCCTTGCATTTAGAGGAATGAAGGTGTGGATGGGAGAGTGGAAATAAGACCCGATACAATATAGTATTCTCCACCACAGCTCTCTTATCGAGATTTGCTTCCTTGGTTCTCGAGTCACTTAGGCTTACCCCTTCTCTTTCTTGTCTTTTTTTTTTTTTTTTTGAGTTGAAGTCTCACGTTACCCAGGCTGCAGTGCAGTGGCAGCCTTGACCTGCTGGCTCAGGCGATCCTTCCGCCTTAGTCTTCCAAATAGTTGGGACTACAGGCATGAGCCACCACACCCGGCTAATTTTTTGATTTATTATAGAGACGAGGTCTTGCCAAGTTGCCCAGTGTGGTCTGGAGCCCCTGGTCTTAGGCAATCCTCTCGCTTTTGCCTCCCATGTGCTGGGATTATAGGTGTGAGTCACCGCGCTCGGTTCCCTTCCCTTTAGACTGGGTAAATTCAAAATCCCTGAAATTATTAATGTTGGTAGTAGCCTCTGGGGCCATGGAGGGAGTCTCAAGTTCAGTTCTCAAAGATCACCTTTTTCAGCCACATTCAGAACCTGACAACAGTCACGAATCCTAGTTCCGAATCCCACAAAGACCTCGGCACACCTGAGAAGCCACCGCCCCGTCCGGCCCCGCCCCCAGTTCCGACTTCGGCTAAACAATACAAAAGACGTCACCGCCAAGCACCCATCCCGCGAAGAGCCCGCCATCGGGCGCATGCGCAGAGCCGGCGAGGGCCGGCAGCCACCTAGGCATAGGCATATGAGCATCTGCACGGCAGTTACAGTTTAGGAAAGGCTTAGTTTCCTTGACGCTTTGTGGAGATCCTTGACAGCGGCTATTTAGGATCAGGACCCGAAGAGAAACAAGGAAAGCACCTCTCCTATGCCCAGCGCATTTACGTTTCAAACTACCACTTCCGGTTCGTCAGCCGGTTCCGGTCCCACCCCGCACTTCCGGTCGCCTTCGCTTCCGCTGCGGCCGGTTTCTGCGTCCGCTGTCTCTGGTTCCGCTGCGCTCCAGGTGAGGGGTCGCGGGGCGCCCTGGCGCGCTGCCCGTGGAGGCACCGTTGGGGCTGGGGGACCGCAGGTTCGCTGCGCGCGTGGCGGAGCCTGCCCTGCGGCGGGCTGGGGACCGTGGCTGTCCTCGTCCCACGCCCAGGTCCCTGGCCTTGACCCGGGGGGCCGCTGTTCTCCCATCCGGCCTTCTTGCCTTATTTCGAGGACTTCACTGCTTGTCCACCTTTTCCCTCCCCTCTTTCTGAAGGCATCCCGACTCCCTCTGCTCTGCAGGCTCTGCCTGCCTCTGATGCTGTCCCATCCCAGTCACCTTGCACCGGCTCGCAGCGGCCACTGCTGTGCTGTCCTGACCGAGAGTTCTTAGTACTTTAGTTACCTTTTGTTAGGATTGCTGCAAAATCGACTCCTCCCTCCCCCATCAGTTCCCAAAGAGTTCGCTTTTGCGGCTTGCAAAGTTTCCATTTCCGCTTTTGCGGAATTTTTAGTTGTGTGGTCTTGGGCAAGTTGTTTAATTTCTTTTTAAGGTTTCTCATGTGTATAATGAGAACAATGGTTGTTGGTTCAGGACTGTGAAGATTAAATGATATAATTAACTTGTTTAGCATGTTTTTGTCCTGTCGCTACCGCCATTCTTACTGCTTTTTACAGTTTGCAAAGTGCTATCACAAGTGTCATTCCATGCCTTAATACTACTCTTGTCCACCGAGTATTAATAGCCTCATCTTGTGATTGAGAAGACTTGAGTCCTAGATGTGGGAACTGACCAGGCAAAGTCAACATAGTATGTTAGGCAGAAGATCTCTTAACCTAAACAACTGTTCTTGATTCCAGATTTACTATTTTATCAAAAAGGTGCGCTCTTTGCTTGCTCGTTTGGGCTTGATTGCCAGCTTTAAACTCCCCCCCCATCATTTTTCAGGTTTGATGGGGTCTGAAATGATACAAAGTATTAAGAATTATGTGAAAAAGAAGGTTAAATATGAGAACAAAATAACTTATGCATTTATAGTTCTGCTCATTGGTGTAAACGAGCTCAATAATGATGAAAAGAGTTTCATTGTTAAAAACAGTCTTAAGGACTTAGGCAATTAAAATTTTTCTGATGTGGCTTTTGTTATTCTTGGTCCTTTATGGCAATGGTCCCCAACCTTGACCTTTTTGGCATCAGGGACTGGTTTCATGGAAGACGTTTTTCCTGGGGTGGGGTAGGGGAAGTGCAGTCAAACCTCACTGCTAATGTTAATCTGTATTTACAGCCACCCCAGTACTAGCATCACCGCCTCAGCTCCACCTCAGCTCATCCGGCATTAGATTCTCATAAAGAGCGTTCAACCTAGATCTCTTGAATGTGTAGTTCACAATAGGGTTCGGGCTCCTCTGAGAATCTAATGCTGCCACTGACCTGAGCAATGTGGAACTGCTGCTGCTCACCTCCTATTGTGGGGCCCCTGGGGGTGGGGGTGGGGGTTGGGGACTCCTGCTTTAAGGCAATTGCCAGCTTGAAATTCCCACTTGTAGCATAGGTGCTTCATAATGCTGTATGCTGCTTTATTAAATGCATAGAGCCTATGCCATCTGGCACATTTTCTTTTTTAAGACTGAGAACATTGAAGAGTCTGGAGCTCTCAAAATTGTAGCATGCATCAGAGATGGGGGAACGAGGGTTGTTAAGACACAAATTGCTAAAGACCCTTGTCTTCACCTTGATTACATTTATAACAAGTTACCAAGTGAGGTCAGTCAGTTATTCCTGGTAGTGCACTTTGAAAACCACTTGTCCTAAAGGAACGGTGACTTGTCCAGGGTCACTTGGAACTCGAGTGATCTCATTCCAAACTCTCTACTTTGCCCATCACAACACGTGCTGTTTTAGTTGGTTACCTTCCTAACTCTTGTAAATAATCATTTTTCTTCCTGCTTCTAACAGAAAAATATTTAAGCTGCCTTTTTGACTGAAAGACCCGTTTGGCTTTTTATTGAACATCCTAACGTTTTTAAAGTATGTACTGGGGCTGAAATGGAATATATTGCCCTAAATTAACCCACTTTAAAATTTCAGTAGAACACATTGTAAACTTAAGGGAATAAATATATATTTATGAGGGGAGCCCACAGAAAACTTGAATTATCTTTTGGAGGCCAGGCCTCTTGTCTACAGGTTCCCCCCCACCCCCGCTAGGTGAATGTCTAGGAACCCATTGCTATCAGTGTACTAGCTAGCATTGTTCTGAGGTTGCATTCGGCTTCAGTGAAATTTTTTTTGGAGATTATTTCAACACATTTGCTCATTTCACAATGAGTGATTTATGAGTGCACCTGCCCACACCACACTGGGTGTTCAGCAGTTTTTGACCAAAAAACGGCATGACCCCCATGCCCCACCATCCCTATTACCCGATCTCATCCGGAGTGACTTTTTTTTTGTTTCCCGGTTAAAAAAAGTCCTCAAAAGGAAGCCAGTGTGGAAGAGGTGAAAAAAAATGGCAGGAGCACTAAAAAGCATTAAAATTGGGTTCAGAAATTGTTTTCAACAGTGGAAAAAGCATTTCCATGTGTGTATTGCATCAAACAGAGAGTACTTTGAAGGTGACTGAAGTTTAAACATGTAAGAATGAATACATCATTTTTAAATAAATCACTTAGATTTTTTGGTGGTCCCCCCTCATATATTATATGAATTAATATAAATTTATGGTTCAAAATTTATGATTCAAAATTTTCCTTTTGCAGTTGATCCCAATAGTTGCATGAAGAGTGTAATAAAATGTTTCATCAAATAAGTGAAAGCATTTGAAACACCATCACTCTGAGATTAGAAAATCCATTTCTCTGACCTCTGAGGGGAGTGAGTTTATAAAAAGTCAAAAGCTTTATGGGAAAGGAGACCTACATTCGATTATTGATGAGAGTAGCAGTTACTGTATAATCTTTGTGTGCTTAGATTTGTGTGTGGGGGTTTTATATTTATTGGTCTTTGGTGCCTTAACTTCTATAAGTCCAACTGAAAAGAGACAGTTGTATAGGGGAAGAAACATCAAATTTAGTAAGAAGGCCAGTTGTTACCAACTGTGTGTCCATTACATAGCTTCTCAAAACTCCTGTTTCCTTAATTACAAAAGAGGGAAAACTCTTACTGAATAGACTTAGATGAGTTTGTGTAAAAAGTGTCCAATTAATAAAGTAAAACAAATAATGGTTCTTTACTCTTTATTTAGCACAGTGCCTGGCACATAGCTTTCAGTTTAAAATTTTTTTTTTGTCTAGCCAACACTTTATATACCAGGCATTCTATGACTTATAAGTATTAACTACTTTAACCCTCATAAGAGCCCTAAGAAGTAGGTAGTATTATTATCCCTATTTTACAGGTGAGAAAACCTAGGCATTGGCAGTGAAGTTACTTCTTAAAGTCAAATAGCTTGAGTGGGAGAGCTGGAATCTGAACCCAGGCGGTTCTGGCTCTAGAGTTATTGTGTCCTTTACCACACCATCTTTGAAATGTTAAGTGAATGTGGATGATCTGTCATGGAGGAACTTGCTGTAGCATAAATCTGACTAAGAGAGCAGGAGTGATAGGCAGCTCATACGTGTACATTTCCAGTTGAACAACAGAATCTGGTAGAGTATTCTGAAGTAGTACCTCCAAGCCAAAAATTGGGAGTGTGAGGGAACTTTGACTTTGAACCCTAGTATCTTTTGAAATTCTGGTAGCACTTCTGTATGGAGAAAATTCCTGTTTTTCTGTCATCAGGTTGTAAACTAGGGCTCAAATGCACACACTTACAAAACTTAAAGTTATAAGTTTGGCTTTGATATACAGTATCTGTTTTAGCTTGTTCATCATATATGTCTTCCTTTCTAGGTGTTTTTTTCCTGAAGGAAAGTTGCTGCTTCCTATGTGTCAGGAATGGCCCTCCCTATCATCGTGAAATGGGGTGGACAGGAGTATTCAGTGACCACACTTTCAGAAGATGACACTGTGCTGGATCTCAAGCAGTTTCTCAAGACTCTCACAGGAGTGCTGCCAGAACGCCAAAAATTACTTGGACTCAAAGTTAAAGGTAGCTCTCTCCCCACTTCAAATTTATGCATTGGATTTTGTATAGTATGGATTTTAATAAGTATTATGAATTTAATACTTGCTTAATCATTTTTATTTGCTATTATCTGTCGTTTTCTTTAATAAGTCTTTCTTTGAAGATTTCTTAGAGATGTTAAAATTGTTTTAGTGGTAAAAGTAAGAATATTAAAGGTTACTTAAAAATACCACCACTAGTAAGATTACTTTTGATTCCTTAGACAGTTGTGTTTGCTTGTTAAATCTTTGTTTGGCACAGAAGTCTCAGGTGAAACTCATTTATTTTCTGATGTTTACCTTTTCCCATAGTATTTTCATGCTTGGGCCTTGTACTCTTCCCAAATTGTCTTTTCTGTTTCAAAAGTAAAGATGACATTTTAAAATTGTAGGCAGCTTTCATATCCTGTTTAAAAGGTATTTTTATGGTGTGCGTGCTTGTCATATCATTGAAGGGTGAGTTTTGAGTAATAGTAAATCTAGTTTTATCTTAGACACTCAATTTTTAAGGCCTCCTGGACAGCACTTACCTTCATCTTGAACAACAAAATAAGCCATGAATATACTTTGTTTAGTTAGTTGAATAAAGATGTTCTTCTAAGATGGAATTGAGGGGGGATCCCTTGTATTGCTAGTTTTGACTTTAGTGTCTTTGATATGACTAGTTCAGCAGTAACAGTTTGTTAATATAAGAAAAACAAAAACTGCTGTGGCATCTATACTGAACTTTTTAATGTTAGGGTTTTGTGTAATGGAATAGTGAAACCAGCACCTGAACTTTAGTGAGAAAACAGTCATTTGCTTGTATTGTAGGCAAACCTGCAGAAAATGATGTTAAGCTTGGAGCTCTCAAACTGAAACCAAATACTAAAATCATGATGATGGGAACTCGTGAGGAGAGCTTGGTAAATGTTTACTTTTGTTACCATTTGTCCCTTTGAAGATATTATGATTTATACTACACCCTGTTGTATCATAGTATTAATTGTGGCAAAATTGTCAGTCTAGCAGTCAATGAAAAATAAAAGCTGCACAGTGAATGTGAAATTAACTCAGCAGAAAATGAATGCTGGGGAATTTTTTAGTATATAGTTACCTGTAAGTATAGTAGTAACCCAAATGGTCAAATTTAGCACAGTAAATCTGCCCAGGGGACATAAACAAATTATTAATTGTGGAAACTTTACAGTGTGTTCTTGAAAGCCTCTTGAACTCAAATTGTACCTCTCATTTGATTCCTATGCTATGCATGTATTTGTTATGGTAAAGATAATACAGTAAAACAAATCTGTTTTCCGTCTTATTAGGAAGATGTCTTGGGTCCACCCCCTGACAATGATGATGTTGTCAATGACTTTGATATTGAAGATGAAGTAGTTGAAGTAGAAAATAGGTAAGTGCTTTACACTTTAGAAGACATTAGTTATCATGTGAGAAAAAGTGAACATTTTATCTGACTTTATTTTTTTCATTAGGGAAGAAAACCTACTGAAAATTTCTCGCCGAGTAAAAGAATACAAAGTGGAAATTTTGAATCCTCCCAGGGAAGGGAAAAAGCTTTTGGTACTAGATGTTGATTACACATTATTTGGTGAGTCAGTTAGTAATGCTTTTCATCTTCTGTTTCCCACAGCAACTTTTTTTTTCTTTTGTTTGGTTTTTCTCAGCAGTACCTCATGGTTCATATGAAATATTTGAAAACTTTTTTTTAACAAAAGTAAATTATTTTTTATAGAAAGTAAAGATAAGCAAAAAAAAAAAAGAGTCATCTTTAATCCTGCAACCCAAAGATGACCACTCTTAGTATTTTGATGTGTATTTTCTAGAGTGTGTTTGTTTGTACCTCCTTTTTTTTTTAACTTAATGATAGATTGGACATTTTAGTCATTAAATATTATTTATTGTAATAATAATATTCACAATAAATAATTCACATTAAATATTATTATATATGTATATAATTCTAGTTTGTGAATGCATCATAATTTAACCAAGTTATTCCCTATTAACCAACCTTTAAGTGTTTATGAGGAATAGTTAAAAAGTCATTTTTGGTATCCTATCCTTGGTTTTCTGTTTTTATTCAGGCAGATTCTTGAATTTAAGATTTCTCATGTCAATTGAAAAATAAAGATGTCATTTTGTCCCCTAATATTGTCCCCTAATATTGGCAAGAACTGCTGATATTAAACTTTTATTTACTTCTAATTTTAAGCTTTAAATATATATCATAAGTTAATGTGCACTTATTTTAAAATTATTTAATTGGGCCTATTATTTTGGTAAAATGTGATTATATCTGCAAGTTGGCTGACTAATGGTGAGTATAGGTGAACCTAGTTTGTTTTTCATCTAAACTTTAGCGACTAGATGAGAAAAACATTTACAGTTTACTAGTTAAGCCTATGATTACAATACTGCTGTTTGCACATTGATTGGTTAAAGCTGGATCTCAAGGATTTTAAATTATGTTTTGAAAGACATCTCTTTGTCATCCAGTGTAATGCAGTCTAAACCAGTTTGCAATTGAATGTTTGTATTTTTATATTTCATAATATATTGGGTACTTGTCCCTGATAATAAACTAATAGTTATTTATAATCCATTTCCTTTCAGACCACAGGTCTTGTGCAGAGACTGGGGTAGAATTAATGCGACCATATCTTCATGAATTCCTAACATCTGCATATGAGGATTATGACATTGTTATTTGGTGTAAGCTATATTTTTTTGTTTAGATTTCCGTGGAAATAGGTTGTTCCTAATTTTATTCTGCTCTGTACAAACGTGACTTAAAATGACCTGTGTTTAAATACGAAATTTCTAAATTGAAGCATATAGCACAATATAAACTTATCCATATTTACCAAATACCTCTGAGATAGTTACATATAGGACAAGAGTATGTTATAGTGTCAGAGTGAAAATGGCCTCTTTTCCCAGTGGCCCCACCTTGGTTAGTTTTTCCTTCCAATCTTTGCTGTGGAATTCTTGCTGCTTAAGAATATTGTTGATTTCTCCATTTTTCCTCACTCATGCTTCAAAACACTTGAAGCAAGATATGTTTAAAAATAAGTCACAGTGACGTAGTTCTCCAGAAATAAAGGCAACATGAATTACTTAAAAAAAATTAATATATGGACTAAAGTAGTTTTACTAAAATTGTGGTCTGTGGTTTATGCCAAGAACATACAGGTCTGTAATAAGATAATGAGTTTGTTCTAAGAAGTAAATCTCCTTTATTACTATGCACACTATTTAGTTCACTTTTAAATTATATATATATATTTTTTGAATTGTTGTCTCATTGTGTTGCCCTGGCTGGAGGGCAGTGGCAAATCACAGCTCACTATAGCCTCAGCCTTCTGGGTGAGGTGATCCTTTTATCTCAGCCTCCCAAGTAGCTGTGACTTCAGATACATGCCACCATGCTTGGCTAATTTCTTTGATTTTTGTAGAGATGAGGTCTCGCCTTGTTAACTCTTGGACTCTAGTGTTCCTCTCGCACCAGCCTCCCAAGGTGGACGTGATCAAAGCTCATTATAACCTCAGACTCATGTGCTTAAGTGATCCTTCTTCTTCAGCCTCTTGAGTAGCTGGGACTACAAGCACACACCACAATGCCCAATTAATTATTTTTTTAATTATTATTATTTTTTTTTAGTTGGAGTCTCACTTTTGTCTCCCAGGCTGGAGTGCATTGGCCCACTCATGGCCACCCCACTGCTGACCTGCTGGGTCCACCTCAGCCTTCCAAGTAGCTGGAACTACAGGCATGCACTACCACACCTGGCTAATTTTTGATTTATTGTAGAGACAAGATCTTACCAAGTTGCCCAGGCTGATCTCAAACCCGTGGGCTCAGGCAATCCTGTCACCTTGGCCTCCCAAAGTGCTGGGATTACAGGCTGAGCCACCGTACCTGGCTAGTTTTTTAATTCTTGTGTAGTCCAGGCTGGTCTTGAACTCTTGGCCTCAAATGATCCTCCTACCTTGACCTTCCAAAGTGCTGGGATCACAAATGTGACCCACCATGCCCAACTGAATTGCCATTTTTTTGTAGCAAGATTTTCTCGTAAAATGAAACAATGCATTATTTACATCCCACTTTCCCACAAATATTTAAAGTTGCCCCTCAGCAATGTTACCTGCAGGGAAGGGTTACCTTGATTTTGAATTAAATCAAGTCCTATTAATTAAAGGTGCTATATTTAATTGTATTAGGTCTTTGCTGAGTAGCCACATAGTTGTTGCAGTCTGTAAATTTCTTTGTATCATACTACTTCTGTTGTTCAGTGATAATGTGAATTCGTAACTGTTGAAATTAAAAACATAGTTGAACTATGATAATTTTCTGGTTTAATAAAACAGGATGAAGAAAGCTTCCTGGTAAGCAAATTTTTGTTTAGCAACTGTGACATTTAAGATGACATTTGAGAAAAAAGTTTACCCTCCATATGTTATTAAACTAGACTTATAAAGTTAGAGAACTTTTTACAATGATTAAGTTATTTTTGTAAACTATGATGTTTTGTGATAGTATGTTAAAAGGGCACTTCACTTTGGAGTTAAATAGACTAGTATCTTAATTCTGGCTCTGTCCTTACTGTGTGACACTAGGAGAGTCACCTAATCTCTCCGAGCCTTAGTTGCTCATCTGAGAAATGGAGATAACTAAACCTGTATTAAGGTTAGTTAGAAATATAGTAACTAGTAATATAATAACTAGTACTAATCTGACATATAATAGTTAATAATTAGAAACTGTTTTCTGTCAGACTTTGTGTTTTTCTTCTGGGAATTATAGATACAAAATAGGTATTGAATTTAAAATTTTCCTGTCTTATGACTGTTTTCATCATAGATACAGTGATCTTTAAAATTTTAGTTCAACTGATCTGTTTTGTATGAAAGGTGATTCTTTTTTGTGTGTATGCTAAAGATTTTTATATTGAGAACTCAGGAACCCCTTTTGCTTTTAATAAATACAGGGGGGGGTGCCAAAAAAAGTGTATGCACATTTTTGGAGATGTTATCTATGTATTGCTTTATGAAGTTGAATTAACTTAGCAAAGCATAGTATGACGTTAGCTCAACCATACTTTAGCCATTTTCTTTGTCTTGCCTGTCACATGGTGACGCTAGCATTCATTTGATTAACACCATCTTTTGAGCGAACATCATACTTGAAATGTGCATACGTTTTTTGCATTTCCTGTGTACACACACTTTAAATAATTAAACTGCTTTTCCTCTTTTTAAACATTTTACTTGAATAATACCTATATAGTTTAGTCCAGTAACTTGGGACCGGTAGGGCACATAAAGATGAGGCTAGAATTTTCGTCTCAGTGATCCAAAAACTGGTTGATCTGACCGTGAGCAAATATATAATGTAGGTATCCTTCATGAATGCATCTCACATTTCTTGTTACAAGCTGCTAGACTCAGTGTAGTTTGCTGAGCCTGACAAAATGCAAATTTTCATTGAACCTAACTGCTGGTCTTCAACATAAACTTTTCACATATAACAATATGCTTCTGTTGACATACTGCATATTCCTGTGCATTGTCTTGAAGTAGAAGTAGAAACATGGAAGAAAGTTGAGATCCAGGCAACCTTACGTTTAAGAATTGGGAGAGAATAGTGGCAATAGCAAGGTTGTTTGTAAAAAGGAGTTTGGGTTTTCTTTATACATTTCCTAGGTTCAGAGTTCTTTTGCGCATCAGTTACCTGAATCTTGTAGATAAGTGTTGTTGGAAGACACACTAAAATAAGTTTATTTTTATAAATATTTAAAAGAAAATCACCATAAATATGCTAGGAGCTATTATTTGCAAAGCATTTAAAACTATTGGTCTTGCTTAGAAAACTTATTTATACATATTTAAAAAATGAAATTCAAACTTTTCATATTTATTGTATTATCATTCCTCATGTTTTAGCTGCAACGAATATGAAGTGGATTGAAGCTAAAATGAAAGTAAGTGTTAGAAAACAATCCATTTTAAAATATTTTGAAACTGCATTTATCTTGTTGAAAGTTCTGGAACTGATTTTTATTCTTATTGGAGGGAGTTAAGTAGATAAATAAGTGCCAATATCTGGAGTAGAGGTCCGTTTAAAGTGTATTTAATGGTGGATTGTACTGAATGCCTAAGACCTTTTTTAAGAAAAGGTACAGCTAAGTTCTCCCTCTACTTTTCTCTCACATTTTACAGTAATACTTTTTTCCCTTCTTTTGCTCTGATATGTAATACTTAAAGAGGTGATCTTCTCCTACAAAGGTAAATTAGGAAGTAATCTGTTTCTAGTTTATTTTCCTTGGGCTGCCATTTATTGACTTAAGTGAACCTAAAATACTTGCTAGTTGTTTAGCAAGATGTAGTGGCCAGTAGGGTAGAAAGTTGGCATATGGGAAATTGCACTAGAATATTCAGAAAGCCTGCAGTTTTCTGTGTGGTATGTTTTATCCTCATGAACATTTGTGTTTTTAGGAACTGGGAGTGAGCACAAATGCAAATTACAAGATTACCTTCATGTTGGACAGTGCTGCCATGATAACAGTGCATACGCCAAGGAGAGGACTAATAGATGTAAGAAGTCATTTTACTTCTATTTAAAGATGCGGTCACTTTCTGGTGTACTTTTTGTATTTATACTGATTTATTACAGAAAGTGTAGAAATTCATCTGAGTGAGTAATAAAGTAGCAGTTGGGATTTGACAGAGGAAAATGTGTTTAAGGTTATGTATTTGAATTCTAGTTATAAAATTAAGGATCTTGAAGCAAGACTGTCAGGAAAGGAACTTGTGGTCATGGGTAACTGTGTTGTGATGATGACAGCACAATGTTGTTGGACAGAGGAGGTGAAAAAAATACTGAATATTGTTAAGGAAGATAGCAATAAACCAAAACATACTCACCCTACCCTATATGAAATAAAACGGATGTGTTATGATGCATCTACTTTGGGATGATGTTTGTGTATTCCTGGTGAATAGCAGCAAGAACTGTCAGAAATGGGTTGGGCTAAAAAGATGAGGGTTCTTCAGTTTGCTTACTCATCTAGTAGCTATTTATATTAGTGAGCACCTGCTATCTCTGAAGCCCTGTAGGGGCACCGCTGGGAATAGAGAGATGAGTGAGACACGGTTATGCCTTTTGAGGGTATACGAACTGATAGGAATTGGGGAGAACATAGCATACCAGGAACACTTAGGTGAGACAGTATTAAAAATATCAAAATCATAAGTAGAATGGTTTAAGCGGATGGGGACTTGGTTCGTTCAGTAAAGGAAGTACTGCATACATCGGGGGAAAATATAGTTTATTACCTACTAAAGTAAAAGAACGCCTTTGCAAAATCTTAATGCTAAGGAAAATTTGGGAAATGTTAAACAGTGTTTGTAACAGTGAAAATTAAAGGAATAAAAATAATAGGACAATAGGGAATTGGATACATAAATTGTTGTTATCCATATAATGGAATGCAGCTAGTCATTTGATGTAGTAGACTGTTTAATGACTTAAAAATTTTCATGACACGTTAAAGTGAAGGAAATATTTTAGAGAACAGTGTTTGTAAGCCATTAGAAAATAGTTCTTAACCTTTGTTTGCTTCAGGCTTCCCCTTAGCTTAACAAAGAATCTGTGAACTCTCTGAGGCTGCTGCTGGTTATAAAAAAGCCTGGAGGTAAATACATCAGAATATCTAGTTGTTACCCTTGGTACTGACTGGATTATCGATGATTTAAAATTTTCCTTTGTGCTTTTCTGTATTTTCACATTTTTCTGTGGTCAGCAATATTGCTTTTCTCATTGAAAACAAAGTAGTCCATGTTTTTGGGAACAAATGGTGCTTGACCTAATTACTGAATGACAATACTTTTTAAGAGGATATAGGATTTCTAACTCTGGGTGTAATAAGGAGTGACCTCTGTTGTCATATTTCTTGACGCTTTTGTTAACTACAAAAAAATATGGCCTTTTGTATCAGTTCCTGTGTGTTTATCTTCATTTTACCGATTTTGTTTCACTAGTAAATAGTGAAAAAAAATCAGGAAAATAGTATTTTGGTAAAATTAAAATATTTCAGTAACAGTCTTTGTAGTAGACAGGACACTATTAAACTGTAGAAGAAAACACACATTTTTAAGTGACAGCCTCTATCCCCATTTACTACCACTTAATCTCATACAATTATTGTTACCATATAATCTCATATTACCATAAATGAGATTTCTGCCTTCAGCAAAAATATTTTTTCTAAAAATTAATTTATTTAAACATTTTTTGAATGTGTAATATATTTTTTAAAGGAAAAGGCATAATGAAAAGTCTTCTTTCCACCTGGCCCCCAGCCACAAATTTATTCTCCCTACAGAGAATGACTGTTATTTCTTGGTAGTCTTGTAGAGACTTTACACAAGTACCAACAGTTGTCACTATATAATTATCTCTTTTGAAGTCTCAGTTTAGGAATTCAGAAATAACAAATAACGGTGCTTTGGAAGTTAAGCAGTCAAATACCCTAGAAATTATGCACCTCTGCCATGGAATTAAAGACACAATTTGTTTTTCTATAAAATATTTAAATTATCAATTGAAAGAGCCAGATACATTTTCTTTCATTAAAGGAATGATCTAGTTTTGAAAACAGACCCGTGTGACTCAGAAACTCCCAGGAGACAAGTATTAGCCAAGAAAGTCATGTGACTGCTTAGCAGACATCTAAACAATTACGTTAGAGCCTTTTTAAATTATATAATTATTATTTCTTTTATTCAAAATCTTCATGTTAAAATTATGGAAAGTCTTAACAATGAGTCTAGTTTAGTTAGACATGAACAAACCTTTCAGAAGTTTGAACATTGCAAGATACATTGTGCTTCAAAGTGGGTTGTGCTTAGATAGCCATCTCACAGGAGGAAAGAATACTGGCATTGTTATGCAGGGGAGTATGCAGTATCTCTGTTTTTAAGACAGGATGAACTATTGATAAAATTTGAGTTAAATCTAAACTTTTATTCTAAGGTAAAGCCTCTTGGTGTTATATGGGGAAAGTTTTCGGAGTATTACAGCAAAAAAAACACCATTATGTTTGATGATATAGGAAGAAATTTTCTAATGAACCCACAGAATGGACTAAAGGTAAGACATATTTTCACTTGTTATATGCTCATGTAATCTGGACTGTGTTGTGGTAGAACTGTTGAATTTCATATATTTTTGGAAATAACTGTATTATTACGGTCACAGGCAAGAAAAGTTTATTTAAAACAATTCATATAAAATTGAACATTCTGTCCTTTGCATTGGTATCTCCTTGGTTAGACAAATCATCCAAGTGTTTTTAGTTAGTTTTATGGGAGCACTATGGGCTTACTGACGTTGCAAAAGTGGAATCCTCAGTATTTTATTAGGTATACAAATCTTGGAATCTCTGATGTTCTGGTTAGCTAGAAAGCTGGCAGCAAAGCACTTTGTTTTTTCCTTTTAAAATGGAAACTACAGAGGTGTTCACAAATTTTTATACAAGGAATGTGTAGAATTATAACTTTAGGAACAATCTTCGGATGAGGAAGTTCATGACTTGCCCAAGATCTTATATGTAACTGGTTAATGACAGAATTGGGTTGGAATCTAGTGACTTGGCTCCTAGGTCAGTGATGATCTTAGCATGCAGTTGCTTATAATCTTGTGGGGACATGATGGTGACATTTCATCCTGGTAGCAGCATAAAATTGGTGAAAGAGAAGTCTGAAACTTAAAAATTTCTGGTACCCGTAGTTGCCTGCACAATAATGAAAGTGGAAAAGATAGTTCTATATTATGGTACTAATGTGAATGGAGCCTCCATTTGAAGTGGAAATCCTGACACTGAGATATTTTTATTCTCAGTGCTGAACTTTTCTGCCAGCTGGGCTCTTAGTAGTTTTAAAAGACAAGAGAGAGAAAAACAAGAGGTTACTTTACTTTTCTTTTTTTTTTTTTTGAGTTACTCTTTTGCCCAGGCTCGAGTACAGTGGCACGATCACGGCTCACTGACAGCCTTGACCTCCAGCAATCCTCCTGCCTCAGCCTCCCAAGTAGCCGGAACTGCAGGCGCATGCCTGCACACTTGGCTAGATTTTGCCTTTTTTTGTATAGACGAAGTCTTGCTGTGTTGCCTAGGCTGGTGAAAGTACATTTTTAAAGCCTTCCTTATAGACTGTTGACTTGATCTTTAGCGTATAGTGAGGATAGTTTCAAATGCTAATCTAGGTAGTAAGTTGCCCCAAATATAGAAACTGTTGACTAGAAGAAAAGTGGTTATATTACTCTTAAAAAAACAGCTACTCAGGTCGAGGCTGCGGTGGCCGGGAGCGGCCACTGCACTCCAGTCTGGGCGACAGAGTAAGACTCCAACTCAAAAACAAACAAACAAACAAACAAAAAACATACAAAAAAACAGCTACTAATTGAGGCTTTGGGAGAAGTGCTTTTCCTGAATATAGTTCAACAAAAACACATTGTTGAGTTTTGAGAAGCAATTTGGTTAAACCTGATTTTCTATGAAACTAATGGTTGTTACCTGTTCTTGCAAGGAGATGGGGTCATGATGTTCAAGGAATGATTTTTGAGATGACCTTTAGCTTCTCTTAAAAATAGAATCATTAGTTTATATGCGTTTAGAAGAAGCTTTATTTTCCTATCCAACATTTGGGCCCTACTCATCTCTTGATGCAGCATGAAGTGGTATTATGAATTTCAGGTTCTTTGTGTTACTTACAGCAGGGTTTTTTAAAACTGGGGTACCCGGTAAACTCACTGAAGGAATTCATAAAACTACATATGTCCCCATCCTCACAATTCTAATTCAGGAGGTATGTTTAGGCATTCCAAGGTCATCTCTTGCTTATCTTTTACCAAAAGACCTCTTTTAAGGTAATTATTAACACATTCGCGACTGGCAAATTTTTCACTTTTCTAATATTGAGAGCAGGTGAAAATAAAAATATCTGAGGCTGATTGCTGAACTTCTGTTGTTAAGCACAAGTGAAACGGTCATTTCTAAATTGTCACCTTTTTCACAATACAGCTGAAAGTTGCAGACATATCCAGTATTTGTCTCAGGCACCACTCTGACTAGCATTCCATAATTGGTATTTTTATTCAGATTATAAACGCAAAAAGACAGTCTTCCACAATGAGATAAATTCATCTCAGTGGCAACCAGCAACATAATTTAGAATGATGTAAATTCACATCAACGATTGCAAATGAATGAATTATCTGTCCATATTGTCTTGGGAGCAGTTCTGAAATTAAGAAATAGTCTTAAGTACTGTGCTTTGTTATCACGGTTTTATAATATGCTTGGTAGAAGTATCCAAAAGATTTCATGCAGATCTTAAAAAACAAAACTGCTTACTTTTAAAATAATTCTATTTATTTATTTATTTATTTGAGATGGGATCCTGCTGTGTGGCCCAGGGCTGGAGTGCAGTGATGTGATCATAGGTCACTGCAACCTCAAACTCCTGGGCTCAAGTGATCTTCTTGCCTCAGCCTCCTGAGTAGCTGGAACTATAGGCATGTGCCATGATGCCCAGCTAATTTATTTTTATTTTTTTGTAGTGACCGGGTCTTGTTATGCTACCCAGGTTGGTCTTGAACTCCTGGTCTCAAGCAATCCTCCTACCTCAGCCTCCTGAAGTGCTGGAGATTACAGCCGTGAGCTATCACATCGGCTTAAGTAGTTCTATTTAAATATAAGCTTGTTGGTCTTAAGGTTTGAAATATATGGGGAAGGCATTGTGAATATGAGTATATATTGAACTAAAAGAATGTGATCATTGGTCATGAATAAAGTAGTTGATATTCTGAAAACTCCATTTTGGTGATGAATAAGAGAATTCAGTTAATGTAGACAATCTTAAGTTTCAAAAAATATTTCTTTGATATAAGACAGGATGATGGTCATAATGTGTTGCCTGTGCTTCTAGTGATCACTTAGATCAGTTCTCAAAAATGGTACAGTAAACAATCATTTTACTGGAACAAGTGCAGCCAATCAGGTGAATAATAGATACTCACCCTTTCTTTGTTTTAAATTTTAGAACCAGAATTATTGAGGTATGTTAGTCTTGGTGTTTAACAGTGCTTAAGGCCAAATGTTTGGAAAGTGAAAATAACTTAGGAGGGCCTAGAATTAAACTCTTTATTTACTAACCACTGACACTGTACTTTCTCTTTCAGTTTAAATCTTCTCTTGCTGTTTAGACTTGGATACTTTGTTATAATGTATTGCTATAGCTTAAAAGTTACTATATTACCTTTCCAACTCTAGGAGTTGAATGAAGGGATGCTTTAAAACATTGCCATATGGCCCAGGATTATGCAGAAACTGTCTTGGCTGCACCATTATGTCATGCCTGTCATCCCCCAAGAGCACGGCTGCTGCTGGGAAACAGTGCTGCTGCTCTGCCGGCTCGAAGCCGGACTCTCCTGCAAGTGCTCGCTGCTGGGCAGACTCGCCTAACGGCTCTTGCTGTGCCCTTCAAACAGCATGGCATCCCACCAACAGCTGTGGAGGTCTCTGGCAGGCGCCAGGCTATTCTGATGAGAGTGCACCCCTCAGAAGGTGTTCTTCTGTCCATTTCAGCCTGGTGGTGTGTTTTTCCAGTGATAGAAGAAAAGTTTATAGAAAATACTTAAAACCTTTCTACACTTAATAGATACGGTAGTGAACTCATTTGGATTTCTTGAGGTTGTTTCTCAGCAAGTGACAATGATTAAATGTCTTACATTTAATTTTACATAGTGTTACCATATAAAATTAATAACTGATGATCAATTTGAATTTTCTCCAAATGAGAAAAAGGATATATTAATACTTTTAAGTATGATTTATTCGGTCCTTAGCATGTGTGCTTTAGAAATGATTATGTCTGGTTTTTAAAAAAATACATAACAGAAAAACTCAAATATGACAGAACTACATAGAATTGTTTAACAAACCCTCCATGTATGTGTCATCCAGTTCATGGGTAGTTTAGACTTGGATATGTTTGCTCCACTGCCCTCTCGATATTTTGAAGCAGATCCCAAATATATCATTTTATGTAAAATTAATTAAAACATTTTGAAAGGCTATTTTGAGTTGTATACAGATATTTGAACTGATGTCTTTTTTAAAAAAGCAAAACTCAGGGCCAAGTGTGGTGGCTCATACCTGTTGTCCCAGCACGTTGAGAGGCCAAGGTGGGAAGATCACTTGAGATCAGGATTTTCAGACCAGCCTGGGAAATGTAGTAGACCACATCTCTACAATTTTTTTGTTTAATTAGCTAGATGTGGTAGTGTGTGCCTGTAGTCTTGGCTATTCAGGAGGTTGAGATAGGAGGATCATTTGAACCCAGGAGTTCAAGGGTGCAGTAAGCTATGAATGAGTCACTGCATTCTAGCCTGGTTGACAGAGCAAAAACAAAAAAACAAAAACAGTAAAAACTCTTGATTAGAGCTATAGCATAAAATGCAGAAAATTTATAGTTTAACAAATTGTTGTAAAGATAATTCTTGTAAAGAAAGCTTTATTCCACTGAAAAACCGGTTACTCTTGATTTTCCTTTCCAAAGATAATCACTGTTACCATCTTGGTATGTAGTCTTCTGTTTTTTTCTAAGCATGGCTGTTTGTGCAAATCTAGATATAGAGTGCATATAAGCATAAGCATTCATATAACCACCATCCTAGTCAAGATACGATAGTCCTTATAATTGTAATTCTCCACCCTTGTATACTATTCTGATTTCATAATTTGAAATAATGCTTTTTCAGTGAGCGTTTTTTATTGTAAAATCTGTCAACCTTAAACATTTGAAAAATAGGACAGTTCTTTTTATGGAAAACTCTTGCATAGCTAAAAAATGATTTTTATGGATAATTTAATGATGAAGAAAAATGCTTATGATAAAATGGAGGGAACAGATTATGTAAATGTATAATATTTCAGCTATATAAAAATTTCATAGAAAACTAATGAAGTGAAAATCATCAGTGCTAAAATTTATCTTACTTCCCTGTTAGATCAAGCTTGTATTTGGATTAACTTTTTATGAGTGAAATACCATGAATAAAATTATTTAATACGGAGCAACTGGAATGAATAGAAGAGGAAAGTCTAAGCAGTTTTGCCAGGTAGGGTAGCCATATAAGAAAGCTGGTGTTGCCGGGCTTGGTGGCTCAGCCTGTAATCCTGCACCTTTGGGAGGCTGAGGTGAGTGGATTGCCTGAGCCCGCGGGTTCGAGACCCACCTGGGCAGCGAGACCTCATCTCTACAGTAAATCAAAAAATTAGCTGGGCGTGGTAGCGTGCACCTGTATTTCCAGCTACTTGGAAGGCTGAGGTGGAAGGATCGCCGAAGCCCAGCAGGTCGAGGTTGCGGTGGCCGGGAGCGGACACTGCACTCCAGTCTGGGCGACAGAGTGAGACTCCAACTGAAAACAAACAAACAAACAAACAAAAAAACAACAAAAAAAGAAAGCTGGTGTTGTCAGGTTCAGCCTGAAGAGGAGATAGCGTTAGATAAAATAGGTGGAAGAACTTTTCATTTGTATTATAAACATACGTGACTTTCTGATGATTAAACTTAGGCTTATATAAAGGTAAGTTTTAGTATTGATGTCCTTGGTGATGTTTCAGCCTCATTAACTCTCATTTAAATGATAGAAGAATGTAGATTTGTTAGTTTTCCTTATCATAGTGTGAAGTGTTGAGTAATTTTTATTTCCTAACAGATAAGGCCTTTTATGAAAGCACACCTAAATCGAGATAAAGACAAAGAACTTTTAAAATTAACTCAATACCTCAAGGAAATAGCAAAATTAGATGACTTTTTGGAGCTAAATCACAAGTATTGGGAAAGGTAAGTGTTAATTGCTTCTTATACCAATGAATGAACAAATTGCATAGTGACCCAGGATATATGTAACTCTTTATTTTTAGTTAAAATGGGTGAATTCTAAAAATATTTTCTAATCCAGTGACATCTTCCTTGAAGTGTTCTCCCCTTTCATCTTAACCTCTGCCTTGTTCATGAACTCACCTCCCACATGCTGTTACTGCTTTTAGTATGGAGAACTTGAGAGGTTAGTGTACACTTGTTATGCTGCCTATCGATTGTGTGACATTAGGCAGGCCACTCCTTTATAAATCACAAGGACAGCCAGGCTCGGTGGCTCAGCCTGTAATACCACGCCTTTGGGAGGCTGAGGTGAGTGGATTGCCTGAGCCCTTGGGTTCGGGACCCGCCTGGGCAGCGAGACCTCATCTCTACAATAAATCAAAAAATCAGCCGGGTGTGGTAGCGCATTCCTGTAATTCCAGCTACTTGGAAGGCTGAGGTGGAAGGATCGCCAGAGCCCAGCAGACGAGGCTGCGGTGGCCGGCAGCAGCCGCTGCACTCCAGTCTGGTCGACCGAGTGAGATTCCAACTCAAAAATAAAAAATAAAATAAATAAATAAATAAATCACATGGACTGTAATTCCTGTTCTCATACTGCAACTATGTCAGGATAAAATTAAATGTATTAAAATTTTTTCTGAATAGTGTTAAAAATTACAGGTAACTTCTGTGTGTAGTAGAAAAATTAGAAAACTTTATTCCACTGAAAAAACCATTACTCGTGACTTGCCTTTATAAAGGTAACCATTGTTACCATCTTGGTGTATAGTCTTCCAGTCTTTTTTCCAAGCTCACATCTGCATATAGATTGAATGTAATATCAAGATTTTGACACGGGGAAACTTCTGGAGAAAACCTCTGGGGAAGTGAAAGGTATAACTTGTACTACAAGCAATTTTTTTTGAGTTAAGTCTTTAAAGATCTGGTTCTAGTAATAAAACAACAAAGGACGCTATTCTTATAATAATAAAACTCTGGCTTTTCAGGTCACTTGACACAAAGTATCTTTTTAGAGAAAAAGTTTCATTTAATAAGCTTTTCTTTTCATAATCCCCATAGGAAGATGAAGCGGGCATTTTTATCCCCATCTTTGAATTGCAGGTGATGTAACTGAGTCATGGTATTTAGTGCAGTGCCACAAAGTGAGCCGACTGTGCCATCAAAACATGCCCAAGTTTGTTGATTTTTTTTTTTTTTTTTTGAGTTGGAGTCTCACTCGGTTGCTCAGAATGGAGTGCAGTGGCCGCTCCCGGCCACCGCAGCCTCGCCTGCTGGGCTCCAGCGATCCTTCCGCCTCAGCCTTCCGAGTAGCCGGAATTACAGGCATGCGCTACCACACCCAGCTGATTTTTTGATTTATTATAGAGATGAGGTCTCGCTGCCCAGGCGGGTCTCGAACCCGCGGGCTCAGGCAATCCACTCACCTCAGCCTCCCAACGGCGCGGGATTACAGGCTGAGCCACCGAGTCCGACTAAGTTTGTTGATTTTTAAGAACTCTTTCCCCACTCCACACCACCAGTTATGGAGTGGGGAAAGAGAAATTTCTCTATCTGAGAAATAGAGATAAAACTTTTAGTTTAGTGGTAGATTCCTAATAAATAATACAAAGAAAAATGCACCTGCTGAGTGGATGAACATCTTGCATCTTTTACACTCTTGGTCAGAGTCCTTTAGCGTCTTCCACCCACTGTCTTTATATGAGAAAGACAAGATCTTTAGATGAAGTTTGACCTGTATTTAGAGGAGACAATACGAGTTAGTGCAGCAACTTTCACATTTGGGAGTAAAGCGTGTGGAGTAGTCGGTGAGTGCAGCCTCTGGAGCCTTATTCTGATCTGAGTTCTGCCCCTTGCTGACTGTGTGGATTTGGGCAGATTGTATAACTTTGTACCTGTAAAATAGGAATATCTTCTAATAGAAACTCCTTAGTGTTATTATGAGGACTAAACGAATCAATGCATGTACTTAGAACAGTGCATGGCACATAATCAACAGATTATGAGCAGTTTTGTCACTGAAATAAACTCCCTTGGGAAGGAACTTGGTTTATCCTCATGAATTCAGCATGAGACAGCTTTGACATTTTTATTTTATTTCTTGCAGATATCTGTCAAAGAAGCAAGGACAGTAGTTACAAGTTGCACTGGCAGTTACTGAAGATACTTAAGATCCAGGAACGTCTTGCTTTTGTGCTAGAAATCATTATGATAGTGCTGGACACTAAAGCAAATACCAGACTGCTTGTACTTGGTCTTCCAATATTTTGTAAATTTAATTTTATATTTTTTTGAAGATCATAGCAATATGCTAAAATAATTCTTTTTCCCCCATATGAATATTCGGTTACTGTTGAAAAATATTTTCTCCAGCATTGATTACTGATTTTTTTTCCACAAAAAGTAGAGAAAAATGTACTCAGCAGTGTCATCTTGTGACTTTTGAAACAAGTTACGTCTTGTGTTTTTGTCTCATTGACTGTCTGACTAAATCTAAGATTACCAAATCCATGTTGAAACTAGAGCTTTTCCCTTTAAAACCAAAAAAAAAAAAAAAAAGGTTTTTGAATAAAGAACCTAGTTTGTTATGCTTAAAATTACCAATAATCTTTTATTTTGTTGTCATAGACACGATATCTCTTCTGTACTCCACTAGTTACAGTTCTAAATTCTGAACTGTGTCAGTTTGGTCTGTATGTATGTATGTGTTCTTTAAGTAAAACTGGAAAACATCAGTTGTGATGCCGCTATGTCCTAGTTTGAGAAATAGAAAAGATAAGACTGAAGAATAAAATTAAGAAACGAAAGTGTGTCTCTTTGGTGGCTAAGTAGAAACTGTTCTGCCTAAAACCATTGTCATAAAAGCAGTTAAAGGCAATAACTTTTTTAAAAGGACATATCATTGATTCAACCTTTAAAAGCATGAACAAAACGTTTTCTTCTGTTCCAGCTTTATCTTGTCTAAGTGCTAACACTGTGTTTCAGTGAAAATATCTAGCCATAAGATTAAAAAAAAAAATTACAGTGCTTAAGCCTGCAGGTATGTAATGTGACCACTGTTTTGTGTTGACAGTATTGCTTTATACAGTTCTTGTATTTGAAAGGAAGCGATCCTTTTAAGGAAACATGGTGTATATTGTTCTTAAGGGACTAATTTCAGTGGTGTATATAATAAATATCTTTTCTTAAAACATTAGTTGTTTGTGCTATATTACCCCAAATATTTTACCTTTGTTGAATCACAAAACAAACATTAGGTTCAGACAAGAACTTTTTGAAAAACATTAAACGTATGTGTTGTTAAAGGTGTGTGTATCACTATTTATGCATTCACAATTGGTTTTAGCAGCTATAATTAGATAAATTAATTCTGGTAAGTACCATTGTTTTCAGAAACATACTGTTTTCTTTGTGACATTATTGTAAAGATATACAGGGCAGATGAGTTTGAGCACTCTTAAGTAATTAAAATGATTCAGTTAAATGTGTTTCTTAATTATGAAGCAAAATTTAGTTATTTAAGAATATAATAGAAAATTGAGAGTACTCATTGTATTGCTGCATTCTCCCTGAGAAAGACAGCTTATTATTCCAATGTAGGCATGGAAAGGGCCTAATTTTTTTTTAAAGAAAACTGAACACTTTGAACTATCCACCTATGTCAAGAAAGCAGACATTTTCTAAATCGGTGTAAGCCAAAATGCAAAAGTTAGCAAGTCACAGGAAGAAAAGTAGAATTAAAAGAAAAAAACATTTTCTGCCATTAGGTGGTGCTCAAACCAAAAGCTTATTAGCTGGTGTGCTTGATTATGTCATTGAGCTTATTGAGAAAACGTGCTGTGTGTGATTCATACCTTCACAGAGTAGGGGGAGTTGTGGTTTTATGCATCTTATAGCTTCCTGAACAGACCATCTATAACCATGTTGTGTGGCACACACAAATGAGCCAAGAGGTCACTGAAGTCAGATGTATCTTCTGGTGAAGGACCAAGTCATTTTTGTCAGCTCGAAACTATAGAATTCTGATTCAGAGTTGTAGTATCCTCTCAGGTCATTCGAAAACCGCCGGACTAATGGTACCTACAGTAGCTGTTTGGTTTGGTTTAAAAGGCAAAGAATAGATAAATAGGTCATAGTAAGCAACTAAAATGCCAGAAAGTAAACAGTTTGGGGAGAGGAATTGGAGCTGATCAGGGATAGGGACTGGGAAAGAAGGATATGCAAAAAGGAAAATATACATTACTGCAGTTTAGGTAATTGCTTGGTTTTTAAGTTGACAAGTTGCTAAGAATAGTAAAACAAGAATACCAAACAAACTTTTTGAGTTTTTTTTCATCCCAAGTAATTAACAATTCTCTCAAAGGACAAGTTGTTATTGTATTTTACATCAAACTCATTAATCTTATTAACTGGAATAGCAGCCCAAGAGTTGTCTATAAAATTAAATGCTTGGGGGCTGGGCGCGATGGCTCAAGTCTGAACTCACAGCATTTTGGGAGACGAGGTGAGGGGATTGCCTGAGCTCCGGGGTTTGTGACCAGCCTGGGCAACTTGACAAGAATCTACAATAAATCAAAAAATTAGCCGGGCGTGGCAGTGAGTGCCTGTAGCTCCAGTTACTTGGAAGGCTGAGGTGGAAGGATTGCCTGAGCCCACAAGGTCGAAGCTGTGGTGGCTGTGAGCAGCATGCCACTGTACTCCAGCCTGGACGACAGAGTGAGACTCCAACTCAAAAAAAAAAAAGCTAAGGGTCTAGTTTTTAGAGTTGCTTTGGGGAGGCTATGTGGGACTTGGTGAGAGTTCTACTTAAAGTTTTAATTACAAGTAGTTGTATGTACTTACAGGCACATTATGGTTCTTTGTGTGTGCGATGTGAAATGATCAAATCAGGCTAGTTAGCACTTCACCTCAAACATTTTTGTGGTAATAACATTTAAAATCTTAGCTGTTTTGATATATGCAAAACATTATTACTAACTGTAGTCACCATGCTAAGCAGATGAAAAGAATGTACTCCTCTGATTTTGCTGAAACTGTACTCTTTGACTGCATCTCCCCTTTTTCCCTCCTGTCGCCCTGGTAACCATTTGTACTCTTCACTTCTCTGTGATTTCCTGTTCCTGGCAGGCTAGGTATGGTATGGTATGGTATGGCCAGAGCTAGGAGTGGGAGTGAAGGCATTCACCAGGACAGTTGTGAATTAAGAAAGGTAGATTTGTTCAAAAGAAAGTATGTTGTGAAGGGCACAACAGGCAGGACAGCAGCAAGAGTATCTGCTGTCTGCAAAGAGACACTGGCCTGAGGCTATTGCCAGTGGAGTTTGGTCTTTTTGGCTAGGGTGAGTTTTAGGATTCCCATCACGCATTTGGTTCCTGCCACACAAATGAGGTAGTTCTGGTTGGTCGATGTTTGACCTTGATTGCAAGCCACTTACCGGCCAGCCAAAGGTTTATAAGCTATTCAGCTTTTACAGTTTCTGTAATCTCATTCTGGAATTTTCTTCCTCAAAATAGTTTACCCAGTTTACCTGAGTGATGCTGGCCTAATCAGGCCTCATGTTTCTCCACACATTTGGCTTTTAAAAATTCTACATATAAATAAGATCATGTATTTGTCTCTTTGTGCCTGGCTTATTTTACTCAGCACAATGTCTTCTAGGTTCATCCATGTTGTCACAAATGACAGCATTTCCTGGTTTTCTTTTTTTTTAGGCTGACTAGTATTCCGTTTTGTGTGTGTGTGTGTGTGTGTGTGTGTGTGTGTGTGTGTGTGTGTGTGTGTGTATCACATTTTAAAAATCCATTCATTCACAGATGGACACTTTGATTGTTTCTGTATCTTGGCTATTGTGAGTAATGCTGAAATGGACAGAGTACAGACATCTCTTTGGAGTGCGAGTATCTAGATCATAAAAGAGAAATCCTTGGGCATTTGTTTCATAGATTTTTTTGAGCAAAGACATTCGAGAAAGTGCATGTTAAGAACTGGAACAAATCAATATCAGGGATCCTGAGGGGCTAGAGAAGGGTGTCAATGATCCAGTAGTGTCAGTGAGGTTCCATGTAAAATGTAAAATTTTAAACACTTTCCACAATTTTTTTTACACTTTGAAAGTAAGAAAGCACTTAAATGCTACTGTAAGGATATTTTCTGATCTAAACTGTTACTTATTAAAATGTCTTTTCCTTTTGAAAAGCTGCACTTATGACTTTTAACACCATTTATAAACAGTAGGAACACAAACCTTAAAAATATCAAGAACACAAATTGCTGAACTTTAGTGATGTTTCCATAAGTCAACATGGGTGCAGTGAACACAAGTTGAAGTTTGTGTGTGAATAATTTGTCACATTAAAGGCCAAACTGATGACTTTTTTTGAGGATATGGATTATTAAAAGGAAGGAAACAATTTTTGGTTGAGTACACATCCTTCCTACTTTTATTCCCTGAAACACTTTCGATTACTGACACTTCTGATTGCATCATCTGTGAGGAGAACTGATGTGGTTTCCCATACGGCTTCAGGAAGAGCGAACAAGTGATTGGTCAGAAAAACCTCTCCAGAATCCCTCTCTACCGGAAAGTCACTTAAACTCTTTGAGCTTTTTGCTTCCTCCTTAAAGAAGTACTGCTGATAAGACCTGTTCGCCTTTCCCATAGGCTATTGTGAAAGTCAAATGAGACAATACTTGTGAAACTACTTTGAAGCAGCAAAGGCTTATGTGAATGTCAGATGTCATTGAAAGTAGTTTAGAGCATGTGACTATCATGGAGCTATGTTATTCTTGAAGTGGTAATGACTAAATGTGTAGTATTAAAAGACAAACTGTCAGCTGGGCTCGGTAGCTCGGCCTGTAATCCCGTGCCTTTGGGAGGCTGAGGTGAGCGGATTGCCTGAGCCCACATGTTCGAGACCTGCCTGAGCAGCGAGACCTCATCTGTACAATAAATCAAAAAATCAGCTGGGCGTGGTGGCGCATGCCTGTAATTCCGGCTACTTGGAAGGCTGAGGCGGAAGGATCGCCAGAGCCCAGCAGGTCGAGGCTGCAGTGACCGGGAGCAGCCACTGCACTCCAGTCTGGGCAACAGAGTGAGACTCCAACTCAAAAAAAAAAAAAAAAGACAAACTGTCTTTTTTGTTGCTTTTTTTTTTTAAGAGATGGAATCTCATTATGTTACCCAGGCTGATCTCAAGCAATCCTCCTACCTTGACCTCCCAAAGTGCTGAGATTACAGGCGTGAGCCTCCACACCCGACCCAAACTTTTCTTAAGTATATATTTTACAAATACTATCTTGGTTTTCTGAGAGTTCTGAATAATCAGGAAAGGAGACTGAGGAAACCTTTTAAGATCTATATCTTTCCGTAAGTATCCAAATGCTTCAAAGTCTGCAAAAGTCATTTAGCACTGGCCTGGATTGGAAGACCAGTGACTCTCTCCTTCCATCTCCACCTCCAAGATGAATAAGACTGACCCTTTAGCTGCATTATAATACATCTTGTATAGTGGAATTTAATATTATTTTAATCTTCTTACTTTGGGCACCAGTTGTTCCCAGATAGAAGTTTGCTAATTTTGCCATGCCATGTAAAAAATGAAAAATTCAAAGGCAATAAGAGTTTTTAAAACTTTTTTTTAAATTTGTAAAGATATGCTAAGGCTAACCAGGCATAATGGCTCATGCCTGTAATCCCAGCACTTTGGGAGGCTGAGGCAAGAGGATTGCTTGAGGTCAGGAGTTTGACACCAGCCTGGGCAACATAATGAGACCATGTCTGTAAATAAAATAAAATTAAATAAGAATAAATAAAATTTAAAAATTAAATAAAAGATATGCTAAGGTAAATACTCTTTATTATTATTATTACTTATTTATATTTTTTCTTCCTGACAGGTTTGGCAGAATAAACTATGCAGGAACCAGGCAGTCAACATTTAACATATATTTGTTAGTACCTACCATGTCTGAGGCACTGTTCTTTAGGGGTAAACACAAAATTCTCTGCCTGCACAGAGCTTATCTTTGACTGAAGGAAACAATCAAAAAACAGTATCATTTCAAATAGAAGTGCTATGAAAACATAATAATATGATAGGAAATGGTTGTGGTGGAGGCGATTCACCATCATAGGACCTAAAGTGAGAAGATGGTGTCTGAGCTGAGACCTGAATGCCCGGAGTCTTCATTCAG